GCAAAACCAAAAATTTATACTTAAAAAAAAATACGTATCATTACCAAGTAGAGTTTATCCCAAGGATTCAAGGCTGTGCTAACATTAGAAAATATTTTAATGTAATTTAACATATTTATAAAGGAAAAAAATTATCTTATTGCATGTACAAAAAGTATTATTAAATGTATATGTATTTATAATTTTTTAAACCCTCAGAAAATCAAGAATAAAAGGAAATTTCCTCAACCTGACAAAAGCATACTTTTAAACCCTATAGAAAATATCATCATAATAATGAAACTTTATTAGCATTTCCTTCAAGACAAGAAAGAAGAGAAAAAAAATGTTTGCCATCAGCACAACTATTCGACAATGTGCTGATAGTCTTAACCAGTGGAATAAGACAGAAAAATAAATAAACAAAACTTAATAACAAAGTAATCATTGCTTTGTAGGCAATGATTTGTAGGCAGGTTCGAACTATTTTTAAGGCCTTTGGCGAATTTTGACATTTCTGCACAAAGTCTACCTTTCTAAATTAGAATCCCAAAAACTACAATTTCCAGGTTCCTTTGCTGTTTGGTGTAGATTTGTAATTTTGATTTTCCCACCAGAGGCACCTATTGGAGGCTTTGATCCAAAACTGGGTTGTAAGTCAGATGTTGTTATAATTATTAAAAACACTCCCTTTCAGACTCAAAAGAGTCCTGAGTTGAACAATAAATTGTGCATTTGCTCCATTACATAGACAAAAAGGCAACATGTAGAGATATATTTGACTGATGGAAATCATGACAGAAGCGGCATGGATCTGGAACTCTTAGCAGTGGAAGCCTGGATTTAGCAGCTTCTGTATTACGGTAAAGGACGTGTAGTCCTGGTGCCAGCAACCTGTGTTTCAATAAGCATTGAAGGTGACTCTGATGCATGCCTAAGTTTGAGAACTAATGCTCTAGAAAAATTCTTGCCCGTGTGTACAAGAATAAATACATAAGGATGCTTACTACAGCACTATTTGTAATACAAAAATAAGTGGGAACAACTTTAGCATCATCAGTAAGGGAAGGGAATTAAGTAAACTGGCTTAGTTGTACAATAGATTCTATATAGTTCTAGTTCAAATGAATGAACTAATCTCCATAGATAAATTTCAAAAACCTAATGCTGAACGGTAAAAACAAATTGCAAAAGGATATGTATGGCATGATAACATTTATTTAAAATTTTGAAACACATAACACCAGAAATTATATATTTACGATATTTACATGTGCTTTTTTAAAACACAAAAACATTGAAGGGATCACACATATCAATTTCAAGACAGTAGTTACTTCTCAGAAGGAAGGCGAAAAATGTCTTGGGGGCATCCTTTAATATTTTATAGAGCAAATATGATAGCATTTTGGACAAAGATTCATCAATTTTTGCCATTTCTCTATGCTTTTCTTCATATTTGAAAAATCATAAGTTAAATGGTAAGATACAGGTGTGTTCTTTAAGCTCACTTTCACTTGGTAAATTTGGCAGATAAAATGGTTTTATAAAACATCTGGTAATGTTGCAGTGCTTCATTTCCAGAGGCCTATTGCCAGATAGAAACTCGGTCTATAATCAAAGGTGAATACTGTAAACACCTCAGTAAATATATATTTTTTGGTTCAGTTTATATTCAACTAAATCCCTGGAATTGCTGGCATTCATCAATATAGGGAAGACAAAATACATCAATCCCAAATGAAAACTACAGGAGTAACACATCTTCAGGACTATCTATATATGAAATACTGAGATCTAACGTTCCTTAAATGAGGAGTCTGGGCAAATCTCTCTGTAAAATAAATAATTGTTTTTGAACCTATTTGTAAGTTTCCATTTTCAAATGTTTTATTTTCCCGATAAGTTATATACCTATAACAGTTCAAAAGTAGAGAACTCAGTTCTCCAGCATCGTTACCTTTCCACAATACTGAAAGAGTAACTCAAGCATGCTTTGGAGGAGTAGAGTTGAAATCTAAGACTAATCTGTCTACCCATCTATTTGCTCACATATCTACTATTTTTTTCCATCCATCTGATGCTCAGGTAATCCTCTGAGATGGCTTTCACGTGTCCATTCCAGACTGTTCCAGCATTTTGTATTCAAGTGAAAACCCATGACTGTTAATTTATAAACACTGCATTGACAAATGACAGGTAAGAAATAACAATTTGTAAGAATTGCATTATGTCTAGGATTTTATTAATCTTAAAAAAATCAACTTAGAATTTCTACTAGGTAACATTAAAATGTATCTGCACACTTACTAAGAACCAGGTTAAAAACAAAAATAAATAAATAAAGTATCACCCATGTGAACTTAAAACACAAAAGCATTTTTACTAATTTTATGTGTATTAAAATTTTATGTATTGCTAATATTTAGCTATTAATACCTACTCAAATATATCAACATTTTGAAGAAATGCAAAAGCTGCTAAAGTGTTAAGAACTCTGAGAAATTGTAGGAAAAATGCAAATGAGACATCAGAGAAGAACTCACAAAGACTAGGAGATTGAAATGGAGCCTTGGCAAAGGATACGAACAGACATTTCTCAAAAGAAGACATTCATACAGCCAACAGACACATGAAAAAATGCTCATCATCACTGGCCATCAGAGAAATGCAAATCAAAACCACAATGAGATACCATCTCACACCAGTTAGAAAGGCGATCATTAAAAAGTCAGGAAACAACAGGTGCTGGAGAGGATGTGGAGAAATAGGAACACTTTTACACTGTTGGTGGGATTGTAAACTAGTTCAACCATTATGGAAAACAGTATGGCGATTCCTCAAGGATCTAGAACTAGATGTACCATATGACCCAGCCATCCCATTACTGGGTATATACCCAAAGGATTATAAATCATGCTGCTATAAAGACACATGCACACGTATGTTTATTGCAGCACTATTCACAATAGCAAAGACTTGGAATCAACCCAAATGTCCATCAGTGACAGACTGGATTAAGAAAATGTGGCACATATACACCATGGAATACCATGCAGCCATAAAAAAGGATGAGTTTGTGTCCTTTGTAGGGACATGGATGCAGCTGGAAACCATCATTCTTAGCAAACTATCACAAGAACAGAAAACCAAACACCGCATGTTCTCACTCATAGGTGGGAACTGAACAATGAGATCACTTGGACTCGGGAAGGGGAACATCACACACTGGGGCCTATCATGGGGAGGGGGGAGGGATTGCATTGGGAGTTATACCTGATGTAAATGACGAGTTGATGGGTGCTGACGAGTTGATGGGTGCAGCACAGCAACATGGCACAAGTATACATATGTAACAAACCTGCACGTTATTCACATGTACCCTAGAACTTAAAGTATAATAATAATAAATAAATAAATAAATAAGTAAAATAAAAATAAAAATAAAAAAAAGAAATGGAGCCTTAGGAAAAAAGAAGTCAGAGAAGGAAGAAAAAAAGGAGCTTCTGAAAATGAGAAGAGTAACGTGCTGAAGGGCTCATCAAAGAAAAGTCCCAGATACAAATGCTTCACTAGCTGTAAACGATGAGGACCAGTTTATCATGTAAAATGAGAGTACTAACCTGTAGACTGCATTTCATGGTACTGGGAACCAAAGTTAAGCGCATCAAATAAATATATTAAATGTCACGGTGGAATATTTCACTGAAACATCTACTCAGTTATGAGAGCTGTTTTTATTGCACACACGAGAAGCAAAAAAATGTGAAACAATTTATATACAAGAGAGCACAAATATGAAATCATTGTCTGTATTTAACAATAAACCATGTAACTATTTTGAGTTTAACAATCATACCAATTATGTGTTGTATCTAAGATAGCTGATTGTTTATCATGAAATATAAATGAATATGAATAAAATGTGTTGCTATATTATGAATAACAGAAACTGCTAGAACTATATATGTTCAGTAGTTTATGTCACTAATCTCTAGATATATCAAAAATCATAATGCAAACTTCCACAGAGTATCACAGATTTGAGGCATAAACAGAGCTTCCCAAAACTTAAAAGTAGAAGGAAGATGGTATCATCACAAGCTGAAAATCAATGTCTATTAGTAGTTGCTTTTCAGCCCTAAACAGATTCATATGTCAGTTTCACTGAGGATATTGACTATGGCATAACCTCATAGGTTTGACTATGTAAAAACCTTCTCTCCCTGAGTTTCTTCCAAAATTAGATGGGAAGCAAATGTGAGAAGTCTTGAACCAAGTGAAATATTAATTAGGTTCATATACAGTTTGAAGTGTTTGGGGTTTGCTTGCTTTTGTTTTTTGCTAGTGTAATCCTTTAAATACATACACATTTGTTTCTAAACAAACTGATTTATTAGGTGAATTTTAGTTTTATTTTTGTTGGAGACAGAATGTTATTAGAAAAAAAAAAGCACACACAAAAAAAGTTGAGGTTACATTCCACTCCCCAGAGGAAAACATTTTCAAATATTTTAGCTGTTTCTCTTTGTGGTTATCTTCATATTTCTAAATAATATGTTTAAACTTCTGTATCTTGATTCATCAATTCTGGGTGTTTAACTATTGACTTACCATACCATTTTCCACTTACATCCATTTCCTATCCCCATTTTTCCAACATAAATATATCTATTTTCTTTTTTAATTAAAGCAATATTCAATTTGTATTTGCTGGATATTTAAATATCACTCAGTGCTGAGTTAAGTGGTTAACTATGATTACCTCTCCTTTTTGTGCAACTGGTTTTTTTTTTGAGTTAACAATTGTTCCTCCTTAAAATCTGCTGAGACTTCTAGACCCTACTACCATTAATAGCAATTCAATTCACTTTCCACATGTTAAAACCAATCAGAAGATTATTTTGCCCTAGAGTCCTCCATCCCCCACTTCCAGTTGGGACTAGTTGCTCTCTAGGCCTAAAGTATAGTTGTCATCCTGGGGTTTTCCTTCAGCATCATCCTGAGAATTTGCTACACACCTTTTTTCCTTCTTGAATCCCGTGCCTCCTTTTTGTTGTTTAGTCCCTCATTGTGGTGGAGCATATCATTCTTCAGCTTCCTGAGAAAAGACAAATGGATAAGGAAGGGAGCTGAAGGATGTCACCATTCAAAATGCACACTTTAACTGAACCCTCCTATTTCCAGTCCAACATCTCACTCCCTTTCCTTCTTCCTCAGTTTTTAACCTCTTCATGATAGGCTCTGAAATAAAAATTATTTCAGAGAAAGTAATTGTCAAAACTAAAATATATTTCATTTGCAAAAGATAGGATTTGTTGTAGGAAAAATGAATTTATAGGTCCAAAGCTTGGAGTAGTTAGAGTAAAGGGTCTTTACCATAAGTCATACAGTAGGAAGGATATAAGTTACGAAGTAAGGGCATTTCTCAATACATAGGGTGAAAGTAAAAGCCCTGTCTGAGTTCCAGGAGGGCATCTTGGGCAGGGGGAGGGAAACAAAAAACAAAACAAAACAAAACAAAAAACAAAAAGCAAAACAAACAAACAAAAAAGAGAGTAAGAGAGTGGAGACGCAACAAGAGCCTACTTTCTCCCCTGCCATCTTGGAATCAAAAATCTCAGGGAATGATGGAGACTCACAGACAGGCATTACAAAACAAGTGGGCATGCTTGTGCTCCACTTCTCAGAGCATAGCCCAAGAAGCCGCAATACAGCAGAGTGGCAAGGCAAAACATGCTGAAAGGAAGAGAGTGTGTCATGGCAGGATATCACTACATGATACTTATGACTATGGATCCCAGTTACACCCAGAAGATGCCAACACACAATGCCCAAGGCAGAAGGGAAGTCAGCTGGACTGCTATACTGCAATTGCGCGTCAGAACACAAAAACTAGATACTCTTCCCCAGGAAGTATCAGAAACCACCTAGGAACTCAGATCATCCTGTAGGTATTCAGGAGACAGGTGAGGAGATGGGAGGAGTTTCTCCTCCAAAGAGTCTGAGTTAAACTGAAAGAAACAGTTTTAATCCAGAATGACTATGTTACCATGAATGGAGAGTTACAAGTGCAGAAATGCAGGTTAATGCACAAATTGAGTTAAGCTATAGAAAAAAGAGAGGATAACATTTCTGCACATCCATCTGGTAGTGTGTAAATTGCAAGCTGCTAATTAACATTAGTGGTTTGGTCTAGGGTTTAGCAAGAAGTCATGCTCACTTTAATTTATACCCCTGGTTGATGGTCACAGGCTATTTCCTTGTAGCAGTTCTCTGCCTTTGAGCATGGGACTTTTATGTCACACACAGCCACAATGCAGTGACGGGACAGCATCCTCTCACCTCTATTTCTGTACACACTGCATGTTAGCCATATCTACAATAACTCAAAAATGGCTGTATTTCTTACAGAGCCCTTCCAAACTGAGACGATTACCCAGAACTTGGGTTTATTGGCAAAGGGAGAGGCTGGTGGCTGGCCACTATCTTAGGGGAAGAAGGAAGAATTGCCTACACAGTGAAAGTTTTAAGACCACAGATCTCAAGCCTTAGTTAGCATGAAAATCACCTGGCAGGCTTGGTAAAACACAGATTATTGGATCACATTCCCAGAATTTCTGATTCAACAGGTCTGGGGTGGGGACCTGAGAGTCTGTACTTGTAATAAGTTCCCAGGCAATATTGATGCTGCTTGTCTGGGGACCACACTTTGACAGAACGACTGCCTTTAAAATATACTAGAGGCTCAGGTCAAAATCTCCCTTACCTATCAGACTACTAAAGCAAAATAAGTACGGTGTATCTGTCCCTTCCCCCTTTCTGTGCCCAACTAAGCTACCTGTAGCAGTTAGGAATGCATTCAGCTGCAGCTAACAGAAAACCCTTCTACCACTGTTAATCAGGATGGAAGAGCACAGTGTGTCATAGCAGGATGTCACTGTATTATATTTATGACTAGGGATCCCAGTTACACCCAACGGATGCCAACACATAATACCCCAAGGCAGAAGAGGCTGGCTGGACAACTTCACTGCAATTGGGAGTCAGTGCACAAGGACCTGATATTTCTCCCCAGGAACTAATAAGGAGATAAAGAATTATATGGCAATGGACAATGCAAGGATGGCACAGTTTCTCAGGGAGATCATAAAGGCCCCATGTTCCTGCTAAACTCTGCTCTGCCAATGGCGTTTTGCTATGTCTAAGAACTAGCTCTCTAGAAAGAGTGGGAAAAACCTGATCTGCAGCATTTGCCAATTTCCATGGTGAAAATATTCCCACCATGGTGATGTCACTGAAGGTAGAGTTAGAGAGAAGTGGGCATAATACCAGCTCCAGCAGCAGCTCTACCCTCTTTAGGATATAGCTTTGATTCTCGAGGTCTCCATTTCATCTCTCAAGATGGCTGCAGCAGGTCTTGTTATTAAGAAAATCAAAGGTTTTCCAGCAGCCTAACCCACCAAATTACTGCCTATGTCTTATCAACCAAAAGATAGCTGATGACTTGTTAGCTGGAAGATGACTAAAGGGAGGGAGGTTGGAGCAGCTAACAAACAGTGTCTGTCCCCACTTCTCTGATACAATTTTCTCTTCAAGGTTGCCCTTAATATAAATCTGACTTCACTTATATAAAGAGGGAGGAAAACACACAGTGATACGCTCTGCTCTCTATTCCTCCCAGAAGTGGCCTGGAGTTACACACCACCTCGGGATAGCGTAGTTACAAGCAGTATTTTATGGAAGTAGTGTCAGGCTGAGCCAAAGCCGGGAAGTGTACCTGATTTGTTGGTCAGTGTTGTGAAGGCGTGGTGAGCTCTTCCAGGCTGACAACACATAGCTGACGTGGCTGAGGATGTAGAAGCTGAGTATGATATAAGACTGTCCATGAAGGGCCATTTTCCTGTTCAGATGATCCCTTTTTACTGTACCTCACTGAAGTGAAACTGAGTTATTCTAGAACACAGTGGACCAAGAGCAAAACTGTCAGCAGGACTCAGGCAAACAAACTCCTGGCATCCTCCTCAATAAGTCAGACATCCATTCTTTTCCCAGAGCCCATATGAAAGGTCTGAGACTCTGAGTGTGGCACCTATTGATTATCTGGTAGCAGAAAAAAGAGTTGGACTGAAGCTTGCAAGAGTGGATATTAATCCCATTCTTTCAATAACTATCTCTGTGACCTCGAACCCATCACATCTCTCCTCTCAGCTTCAGTTAGCTCATCTGTAATTGAAGGAGTTGAACTGTGTGCCTTTGTCCTATGGGTCATCTGAGCATTTAAGCAGGAAAAGCAGCTAAATATTTTTAGGAGGGTGACAGGGATAAAAATTAAATTTCAACCACACTGCTGTTAATACTAAATGGCTACCTAATCAGACCTCTCTTCCAAATTAATCTGTAATGATTTCGATCATAACTTACAGTTTGTGAAGTGCTTGCTTCTATATTTTTCTCCCATCAACCAATTTGATGTAAGTAGGGCAGGCATTTTTATCTCCATTATTTTCCTCCTCAGGGTAATGTACAATTCTCACTCTAGGATTCCCATAGTCTACAGCAGCAATTCTCCAAGCATGGTCATAGGCCACTTGCATAAAATCTCTGCAGGACACCTATTACAAATTCCTCTTCCTGGACTCTATTCCAGATCCACTAAATCAGAATCTCTAAGGTTGAGGCCCTGAGATTTGTTTGCACTTTTGACATAACATCTCCATGTGATTTTTATATAACCCAAATTTGAAAATCACTAGTTTAAAAAATGTATTTGGGGGTACAAGTGCAGGTTCCTTGCATGCATATATTGTGTGGTGGTGAAGTCTGGGCTTTTAGTGCACCCATCACCTGAATAGTGAACCCAATAGGTAGTCTTTCAATCCTCATACCCCTCCCACCTGTCCACTGTTTAGAGTCTCCAATGTGTAAAGGAACCTAGCATTTGAGGCCTATTATGTGTCAGGCACTATACTGGCTGCTTCATATGAGCTCTTTCATTCAATACTCATAACAACTCAATAAAGTGCATATATATATATACGTATATACTACATATCTATATACAGTTTGTCAATAAACTATTTTGGAGTACTTTTATATTTATGGAAAAGTTGCAAAGACAGCAGTGATAACATACCCCTCACCCAGTTTCATTGTCCCTGTTGTTATTACCTTATGTTACCTTGGTTAGTTTGTCAAAATTAAGAAATCAACACAACATTGGTACATTACTGTCAATTAAACTCTCAATTTTATTCAAATTTCACCAGCTTTTTCATTAATGTATTTTTGTATGTTCTATAATCTAGTCCAGGATACTACATTACTTTAGTTGTCCTGTCTCCTTTGTCTCCTCCGATCTGTGACAGTTTCTCATTCTTTTCTTGTTTTTCAACACCTTGACGGTTTTGAGGAGTCCTGGTCAAAGTAGTACAAAATAGTAGAATGTTCCTCATGTTTGGTTTGTCCGATGGTTTTCTCATGATTAGACTGGGGTTATGGGTTTTTAGAGAGAATACAACAAAGGAAAAGTGTCTTTCTCATCACCTAATATCAAGGGGTACATAATATCTATATGATATCACCTGATGATATTAATAAAATCTATGCTTGTAATCCCAATTCAAATAGGAAACAAGTTTATCAAGCCTAGTGTTCTATAACTGCTAAATGGCAGAACCAGGATAAAGTTTAATTTCTTTTCTCTGCCATTTTGGTTGCAAGTGACCACTCTAGTTTTATTCTCTTCCCATAAAACCCTCCATTTCAGCTCAATTTGCCATTCTCTGTGTTTCTTGCTCTACTCAACTCCCCTATGTTTTCCAAGTCTTTTTCAGTGTTCAGCTCAAATCCAATCTGCTCATTGAAATCCTCCATGATCCCCAACACACTCTTCTTTCATGAAATTATAGATGCTCCTCTAATTTTCCACTTAGCACATATTGTCTTAACCGCTGTCTTTCCAAGCCAAAATGAAACAATGGGGAGAGACCAGCCTATATGTGAATCCATTTGCTCCTGAGCTGAATAACATTGGTGTCTTACCTTCTGTAGTCTTTCACACTGTATTCAGAGGAATGCTTCTGTTAAAACAAACTAAAT